ACGCAAGTAGCGAAATAGATAAGCAAATGGTCATAGCTGAGGAGTCTGAGTCGAAATTTGACAAAATTCATGAAGGATCGTTTGTGGTAGATGAAACTGTTGAACCTGAGTTTTCCTTGATCAGTGAAGTAATTGAGGCAGATGTGACTTCGAGTGAGCCGTCAGTTTCAGGTCTGCTGCAAAAGACCCCGGAGTCAGAATTCGTGGACTATAATCTCTCACACTTTTCTCTCGTCATGAGTACTTTACCCCATAAACCTCCTTCAAAATTTAATTTTTCTGATTCTATTTCTCGCATTATTCCTTTCTACCCTTCTAATGAAATTACGGATTTTTCTAGCTTCTCTAAATCCCCCTTGACTCAATTTGAACCTATAAATTATAATTCTCCCTTATTGTCTCATAACGCACTTCGTGACCTTTCTCAACCTGCCCATGAATTTAAAACAACCTCTAACGTATCGTCTGAATCCGAGATTGTTAATATTCCATATCCTACCACTGCTGTAGAAAGCGCTCTTTTTCCTATTGTCACTACAGCACATAACTACTTTATGCTGAATCCAGCGAGTAATGCGCTGCCTTTCTCAACCCAAGTGTGTACGTCTTCGGTTTCAGATATTTCAGATTCTGCTTCCTCAATATTTTACCAAACAGGAGGCCTTGATGTTGGCCTCTCATTTCAAAATAATGAACATGAGGAAGCTAAAGAAAAGTGGAATAAGACGAATTGTGAACTTGAGATGCTTCAATCTATTCCTTCTGAATGTAAATTTTCTTCAGAGATCTTGATGGACAAATTTGTCACTAATGCTTCTTCTTGTTCTTTCGAGCCTTCATTCCCCATCACAACTATTACTGAATATTCTTTTCCCTCTTCTAAACCTCTTGTTCCTTTTGATTCATGTCACGTATGCACTTCTTCCTCTTTTCCTCATCCTGCCAGCTCACCTATTCTCACTACTTCCTGTTCCTATTTTTCTCCTTCCATTTCTGCTTCTCAATATAGACCTCCATTATCCCCTTCAAATTCTGATGTCCCATCCTCCACCGATTGTTCCTCCTCCTCCTCAGTTCTTTTGGCAAACTCTCACGCTATCCTTCCTCATTCTTCTTGTCAATCTATTTCTTCTCTCTCTTTTCATTCCTCTTCATCTAGCCCACCTTTTGAAAATAGTCTAAATCGACCTTCCTCTTCCAGTCTTTCCCCTCTCCATTCATCTATTCTTTCTTCTTATCGTACTCCCTTACTAGTAACTGTTTCAGAATTTTCTCCCCCTTTTTTTGAATCTGCTTCTCATTTTCCTTCCTTTTTTCACACGTGCGTTCAATCTGTGGAATTTTCTGATTATTTATTCCAAATATCTCTCATCCCTATCTCTTTTTCTCTTATTTTTGATTCCTTCACGTCCCGCCTTCTATTCCTACCTTTCACCACTTCTCCCTTTTCGAGCTTTTCTCAAATTTCTACCAATTTCGCAGAATCCGGCAGTTGTAAAACTGTCGTTCACTCCGATAATCCTGATGAAGAATCGTCTTCTGCAGTTAGGCATAATTTACAATCATATTTTTCGACTTCGAATGGTACTACATTGATTTTCTATGGTGAAACTGAATTAGAAGGATCTCATAAAACTCATGAATTAAATTCCAAGCAGTCTGAATTTAAGGTTAAATCGTGCTCAGAGCCACTAAATAGAGAAGTCCATAATCACGATATAAAATCGTTTCGAAGCCCCTCTTCTCTGTCCTTTACTTCCTTAAACAATTTACCTAACATTATTAAGACACACAGTATTACTAATAAATTGTCGGCTGCTGCTGAAAACACACAAGAATATAAAACTAGGCAACTCGACGAGATGATGCGCAATACAAATAAAAATCTCGATCATGAGCGCTCAGAACTTTTAAATCTTCAAAAAGAAGTTCGCTATCTAGTCGGTCAGCTTTTAAATGATGCTGCTGATGCTCCAATGCAAACCATGAAGAAGGATAGGGATACTCCCATTGGTGACAAATTCTCGAATGGAAGCGACGAACTTTCTACAAAGAAAGGCCTGAATTCGGATCCAAGTACTGAATGGCAGATAGACTGCGCCTCACAGTGGAAGCCTTATGATATTTCTGCCGATAGTACTATTAGTGAAAATGAACATAGTGATGAAAGTACCTTTTACAATGCACACAATGGTGAAAATGAGGATGATTCTGATAATGCAAATCCCAGTATAGAC